AACGAGTTTTGGATTACGTATAATAATTTTCTCAATAACTATAGATAATATTTTTTAACTATTATATTAATTTTACTCGCTAATCGTATAACGCGGGTAATTTTCTAGTTCAATTAAAAAATTTAATTGATTTTGAAGTAATTAGATTTTTTAGAGAATTTCACTGTTATTCAATTATGTATTTTTTAAATTGTTTAAAATCCATGTGTTATTCAATTGATTAGAATCTTAATTCTTTTAAATTTATGTGTTATTCAATTTTTCTGTAACTTTTATTTTTTTAGAATTCAAAATAATTAATAAAATTCTAAAAAAAAAATGTGAAGAGCCAATTCCTACAATTTTGGCTGTGATTTTGATGGAAACTTATAAATTTCTCCCCAATACGTTAAATTTTAGAATCTCTTTTTCAAACCTTGGCTAAAGATTTTGGATACTGGGCCTAGTATTTTTTTTAGCCCAACACCTAAACTGCGCTACAAATCTAATTTAGTTTCCTTTTAAAAAAATAATAATAAATAAATGGTAATAAACCTTTTTCCGTTCAAAGCTAAATCATCGCCGTCTTCTCTCTTCGCCTTCAATTTTTTTTCTCGTTCCAATCACACTTGTCTTCTTCGTCTGGTAAAATCCTCTCTCCGATCTCTAATCTTCCAATTTCTCTTTCGTTATCTCTACTTTTATGGTTTCTGTTCCAATTGCTTCTCGAGCTTAGGTCATGGAGTAACGTATTCTGACTTTGTTATCCACTTTTCAATTTTTGACTTGGTTTACTCAGCGACCATTGTTTTTGTTATATGTTTCAACATGATCTGTATTCAGTGCTTTGATGAAACATGATCAATATAAGAAGAGAATGTTACCGTCAAAGTTTCATTCATTTTTCATTTTTTTTGGGTTGTACTGATTCTGCTTTGTGTGGTTTTGTAACCTAGACAGGTGTATTGAGAGCAGAAGCTACTAGGAGATTTGCTTTTGCAACCAAATCAAAGTCTGTGGCAACTATGGCAGCTGAATACACTGGGAATCTAAAACATCAGCTCGAGATACTCTTTGATGAGTCTTTGAGATTAACAGTTCCTGATGAAACTGGTGTTGAGATCAAGGTTGCTGCTTCCCAACCTGGAATACCTGGAGATTACCAATGGTGCTCCTTCTTTCACTTTAACTCAAATATTCCAATTAAGTTCCTTCTTTTGTTTGCTAAATTACATCATATTCTTGTCTGCAGTAACAATGCAATGAGTCTATGGTCCATAATTAAAGGGAAGGGTACTCAGTTCAGGGGTCCTCCAGCTGTTGGACAGGTTGCTAGTTTGTTCTTTAGAATTTCGTCGCTTTTGTATGCTCTGTGTCGTGTAGCATCAGATTCTTATTTTGTTCCCTTTTTCACATAGGCCCTTTTGAATAATCTACCTACTTCTGAGATGGTGGAATCATGCTCTGTAGCTGGACCTGGATTTGTTAATGTCGTACTATCATCCAACTGGATGGCTAAGGTACTAGCTCCTGTTGTATAATCGTTTTCTAGTCCTCGTATAAATAATTTAATGTGTAGCGTAATTGTTTTCTAATACGCAGAGTATTGAAAATATGCTTATCGATGGAATTGACACATGGGCGCCTACTCTTCCAGTTAAGAGAGCTGTAGTTGATTTTTCCTCTCCCAACATTGCAAAAGAAATGCATGTTGGTCACCTGAGATCAACTATCATCGGTGACACGCTAGCTCGGATGCTAGAGTACTCAAAGGTTGAAGTTCTACGCAGAAACCATGTTGGTGACTGGGGAACGCAGGTACCTACTTTTCTGCTCTCTTGAAATTATATCTTAATCGTATTCCAATATTTACCAAAGAAATAAATTCCGTTTTCATTCTGCAGTTTGGTATGCTCATTGAGTACCTCTTTGAGGAATTTCCTGATACAGATAGTGTGACTGAGACAGCAATTGGAGATCTTCAGGTCAGCTGCCTTACATCATATGGTCTTTCATGCTTTACACTTGTTATTATGTACCAATATTGGCATAATACGCTTTATGTGAAGAACTTAAGCAATTTATTTTCTAACTTCAAATGTCATCTGACAGTCGTTTTACAAAAAATCAAAGCGAAAATTTGACGATGATCCGGACTTTAAGGAAAAAGCACAAAAGGCCGTGGTCCGTCTACAGGTAAATAACATTTTTCCTAACCTGAATTATAAGTGCATCCTTCTGTTTGGCAGTGTGTCAATTATGCAGCTGCCTTGGTTGCAAGATCTAAATTACTCACATGGCTATATTTTTTTCCTGTTTCTTTGGTGCAGGGTGGAGATCCTATTTACCGCAAGGCTTGGGCGAAGATTTGTGAAATCAGCCGAACCGAGTTTGCCACGGTTTATCAACGCCTTCGGGTTGAGCTTGAAGAAAAGGTAAAGTAAGAAATGGACTGATACTATATATTATTTGAGACAGAATAGAAAGAAAAGAACATTGATCTATGACAGGGAGAAAGCTTTTACAACCCCTATATCCCTCAAGTAATTGAGGAACTGAATAGCAAGGGGTTGATTGAAGAAAGTGAGGGTGCTCGTGTGATTTTCCTCGAAGGCTTCAAAATCCCACTCATGGTTGTAAAGAGTGACGGTGGTTTCAACTACGCCTCAACAGATCTGACTGCTCTTTGGTGGGTTATCTTTTCTTCTAAAAAATCCGCATTTTAGTGGAAAAATAATCTCATATATGATGAAGTTTTGCGTTTGACCTAACTTGCATATTGTTTGATATTGAATTGTCTGTTGATGCTAAAATTTGCCTGCCCCAGGTATCGGCTTAATGAAGAGAAAGCTGAGTGGATTATATATTTGACCGATGTTGGCCAGCAGCCGCACTTTCATATGTTCTTCAAAGTAAGGGGTTGATGAATGTTTTTATTGTTTTTGACTTGTCTTGCTTAAAACTGTCAGTCGTAACTGTGGTTTGTCTGTTGCTATGAATCAGGCTGCCAGAAAAGCAGGTTGGCTTCCAGACAGTGATAAAACTTATCCTAGAGTTGACCATGTTGGTTTTGGTCTCGTCATGGGGGATGATCGCAAGCGATTCAGAACTCGGGCAGCTGCAGATGTAGTCCGCCTAGTTGATTTGCTAGATGAGGCCAAGACTCGCAGTAAAACTGCCCTTGTTGAGCGTGGTATCTAGCTTTCTGTCAGCATTGTTAATTGTTGAACCATTAACTTTGTTCAGTTATTGTGTGGTCTTCCTTCATATGTTGTTTCTCTGTTTAGGTAAAGACAAAGAATGGACTCCCGAGGAGCTGGACCAAACAGCTGAGGCAGTTGGATATGGTGCGGTGAAGTAAGTATTATGTCTATTCTCGTTTTTGGGATTTTTGTGATAAAAGCTGAACAAATATGATGAATGTTCTACCAGATATGTTGATAGTGTGCATTTTAATAAATTTTCATGCTGCTTGCTAACTTGCGGTTTTGTTTAATGTTCTTTCAAGGTATGCTGACCTGAAAAATAACAGATCGACAAACTATACTTTCAACTTCGATCAAATGCTTAGTGACAAGGTACTGGAAATTGCCACCTAGTTTACATATTTGCATTATGCAGTCAACCTAGACATGCTTATTGGTCTCATGTCATGAGCAGGGAAATACAGCCGTTTACCTTCTTTACGCCCATGCTCGGATCTGTTCAATCATCAGAAAGTCTGGCAAAGACATAGATGAGCTGAAAAAGGTATTTTAGCCGCATGATCACAAATTACTTTAATTTTATTCATTGTTCCTCTGTTCTTCCTCTTGACTACAACTGAACTTTCCCATTGTCTCTAACATTCATGGAAATGCTACAGTACAATCTATTTGGTTGTCTTTTATTTATTCTTGGGTTTGTGCTACCTAATTTCACATTTTTCATATCTGATGGATCCTTAAACACCTTAAGGAGACGGTATTATAAACTCTTACCAGTAATTCTTACGTTTCAACATGTGCTTTATTGCAGACTGGAAACGTAGCATTGGATCATCCGGAAGAACGAGCACTGGGGCTTCACTTGCTTCGATTTGCTGAGGTAACACATGCTCATCATTAGATACTAGTTTCAAATTTTGACTTGTCTTTCTGAGTAACAAGATGAACAAATTGCACAACCCATGTGAAATATTTGCAGACGGTTGAGGAAGCTTGCAACAACTTGTTGCCGAACGTGCTGTGTCAGTACCTCTACGATTTATCTGAACGCTTCACCACCTTCTACTCTATTCATCAGGTGTGGATTCCCGACATTCTACGTTTCTATTTATATCGTGATATCAGACTGCATAACCATTAGTTTGATCTCATTTAAAACATGAACTTTTTATAGGTCAATGGTTCACCAGAGGAGGCAAGCCGTCTCCTACTTTGTGAAGCAACGGCTATAGTGATGCGGAAATGCTTCCACCTTCTTGGAATCACCCCTGTTTACAAGATTTGATGCTATCACTAGCACATTTTTTTTTCTTTAGCTCTAAATTCTCTAATGTTCTTATTTAGCTTGGGCAACCTTGTATATAAAATGAATACAATGCCTCGTGCTTGGTCTTCCTATCAAGACCTATCACACTACCAAGCAGCAAAAAATTGTTAGGAATTGGAAACCTTTTTAAAAATGGAAAGTGATTTTCTCATCGCTCAAAGTGTTACTTAGGATTTTGAATACGATCTTATGTTGCTTGAGGAGGTTATCATTCGTGGTTGCAAGTCATCTTTGAAAGTGAGAGATTTTTTTCCTCTTTTTGTGTGTGATCTTTGAGGTTTAATATTTGTAGTGGCCTTGTCTCTTGTTTGTTTTTGTTCAAGGTCAGGTCTTTTGATCAGTTGGGTGGCGTGCACCCCTAGTAGTTGGCCATGCATAGTTTTTTTGTAATCAACGTTGTATAAAATCAATTTTTTTTTTCTCAAAAAAACATTGTATAAAATCAATCTATATTTGTTATCAACTCACGTGCACATTATACTTAACATTTCAAAGACACGTTCGAATAGACACACTATAAACAAATATCTAGAAAATATGAGAAATACTATAAATTTTTTAATATAAGTAAAGAGAATCTTGTCAGAAATAATGAATCTAGATGAAAGCTGCACATGCTTATACATTACATAGTCTCCGATTAAAGTGGTTCAGAGTCCTAGACGTTGTGACATTGAATTGAACCATGAAATGGATCTCAACTAGATTCGGACAGGCTGAGCCAAAGACTGAGCTACTCGGGTACGAATTGATAACAGCATGTAGAAGGCACGTGAGTTGGAAAGTGAAAGGAATCCTATAGTCATCATCGTACAAATTCTATATTTTGTTTTAAATAGGAAGAGTGGTCCATAACGACATAATTTTGAGGAGGCATAACAAAAGGAGCTTTTTTCTTGTAGGGATTCTTTAACGGTAAGACTCCTTGAGTATCATGAACTTATTGGTATTAAAAAAAACTAATTAATTGGGTGAGTTTTGGGCTGAGACGTATCAGTGGAATGATCCGGTTGAGACATATCACCAAGCCACGTGTCGATATGCCAGTGGACCGCTCATTTATTTTCTCCTAACCCAAAAAAAAAAAAAATATCTCTGAAATCTCATTTTATTTTCTACACAATAGATCCAGCCACCATTTCATCCACTGGGTAATTACTTCCCTCAATCAGCTTTCATTCCTCTTCCTCCACCGTCGTGGAATCAAACTCCGGTTAGACGTCGGAGTTGGACCAGATCATCACAGTTCGAAAACCGGATCAAAAACGAGAAGATTAATCTGGCACTGTTTCCATGGGCAACGAATATTCGAGGGAGTATACAAACCTTGGAAGATCTGGATAAATATGAGGGATTATGAGGGAAAGAGCTCCGGCGATATGGACAAATCCAGAACCGGCGAGATGTGAGCTTTGTGGCCGTGAAAAAGCAGTGAAATCGGTGATTGCTGAACGAAAAAGCAAGATTAATTGGTTGTTTTTGCTATTGGGATAAACATTAGGTTATTGTACAGTGGAACAATTGAAGAATTTCTGCTAATATTCAAAGAGTCATCGTACTGGTGCTAAAGATCATGTGCTTTACTTGACGTATTTAGGTCTTTG